CCCCTCACTCTTCAGCTTTCCACCCCCCACACACCTGCAGCCTCTCCCGTGCTCTGAAGCCCTGACTGCTATGTCACATTGGCTGTCATACGGGGGCCACCTCAGCAGCATGTAAGGATACAGAGCCCACCATTTTCTCCAGGGGAACTGATCTCTGCCATCTGGAAAGCAGTTGTAATTCTGAGTGATCTCCAGCCCTCACCTGGAGATTGGACACATTTTACCTCAGAACAGCAAACTGTTTAGAATGTTAGAGGCAAAAGCCAATCAAGTTGCATATGCAAACGACCTCTGTGTTCCGAGGCAAAGGCCAATGAGGCTGCATATGCAAATAACCTCTGTGTTCTGACTGGCTATGGGGGGGAGAGGAACAGCAAACTGTTTAGAATGTTGGAGGCGAGACTCAAGAAATGCAGCCAGTGGATAGGGACAGATTCTGACTGACACACCAGGGCGCCAACCAATTCCGGAGCGTATGGAATGTTCTAGAGAAGTGCCACCACCATTCGGCTTTTATATATAAGGGATATTATATTATATTATATTATATTATATTATATTATATTATATTATATTGGCACATATGTACATACTTGTTTATATAGCACAAAAGCACATTTATGCACATGTAATAAACCAGAAAGACAGGTGCATTCAGTTTCATTATATGCAATTAAACTCAACCTACGTTCCAAAAATTAAAGGACGGAATGAGGGGAAGGAGAAAGGAGGGTAACAGAGACTGAGAGTAAATACATTTACACATACTTAAGGTTTCATTGGGTCAGGGGATAAGAACTAGTATGTTGAGCCAAATGCTTTGAAGAAAAGGTAATCTGTACTTTGCTTCACTGTCTTACACCCAAGTCATCAATCAGGAAGTCAGATTTAGAAGTCAATTTCATATCAATCCCAGCCCTTGTTTTGCTAACCAACAGCACATATGGAAGGGAAAACCAGTGCAACATGGAAAGTCATGATAGTTGGGGCTGGTATGATTAAAATTGTTTCCAGTACATGGCATCATTCAGGCTGTGTTCCTGTGAGATATTCTTAAATGGCCAAGTGCCAAACAAATGCATCTGCATCAGTTATGTGGTCATCTTCATAATTAAACGCGATTAATAATCTTTAAAAAATGATGCCATGTGAACATTTCAAAGCAATTAGTTACTCATGATATGACTACTATAGGTTAATGTGCTCATCGGATAATAACCTCCTAAAATAATAACCTCCTAGTACTACTAATAAAAAGCACTAGAAAAAGCCCTCAAAAGAAGCAGACTTGAAAACTGTTAGCAATTTTCTCTTCTGGATTTATTGCATTCTCTGAGTGTGCCGCCATTTTCTTCTTCATACATTTTAGACCATACCCCTTTGACTTTAATCTTTATCCAATTTCTTTTGGCCCAAGATTAAAGCCTTGCAGGGAAGTTTGATAACCAAATGATAATACCAGATGCAGCATCATCTGTACTTCACCTAGAAGTCTGATCCAAGTCAAATGGGATTTATTCAAGCTGAAGAGGAAGAATTGGTTTTTATATCCCACTGTACTCTACCCTAAGGAGTCTCCAAGTGGTTTACAATCACCTTCCCTTCCAATCCCCCACAACAGTCACCTTGTGAGACAGGAGGGGCTGAGAGAGTTCTGAGAGAACTGTGACTACCCTGTGACTTCATGTGAAGGAGTGGGGAATCAACCTCAGTTGTCCAGATCAGACTCTCCTGCTCTTAACCCCTATACCACTCTGGCTCTTGTCATGCATTCAGACTTGCCCAAGATTTCTATTCATTTATGAAAGTTCCCCACCCAAGCAAGATTACCATTCAAATGTGTGGCATATACAGCAAATTGTTTTACCTTATATATACATTTTTCGATGGTAAACTTCTTAGCTCAAATTTTATAATTTCTTAGTAATGTTTTTACATATTTTCTTAATGCCATCAACATTATGTATGATTAGATGGGTTTCCTGCATATAGAATGAATTGTCTTGTCTATTCTTTTATAAACAGTGTTTAGAATTCCACATACCTTTGTTAAATGTAAATAATCATCAGTAATCAGCTCTATATATGCATGAACTACATTTCTAAACAATGACAATGAAGGAAAAAACCCGAACGGCTAGTCATTGCACACATAAGCAGCCTCTTACAAAGACATACCAGCTGTTTTGAAGTTCTCAGCTCAAGACTTGTAGGATGTAATATTTAGCATCCATACACCACTGTAGCATAGGGTTGCTAGGCCATGTAGGAGGTTTGGGGACACGGACACGGAGGGGGCACAATGTCCTGTGTGCCACTACATCACTTTTGCTTCAAAAGCAACATAGTGTCTTGCAGGACACCAATGTTTTAAATTTTTATTTTATTTTTCTCCTACTGCTGCTTGTGTCAGCGGCCAATGACAGCTGATGGCAGGAGGCCTCCCACCAGAGTGGGATGCCTCGCAGCCCTACCACAGGACATTAACAGTGTGTCACATTTTCTCAGAAACCCTTCCAAGAAGTCTGTAAATAGGTCAGTATTATTATCTTTACATTGTGGACACTGAGGCAAGGGCAGATGGGCGAGGAAGGGTATGAATAACCCAGGAACAAAATGGGTTCCAGGAAGGAAATAAATCACAAACCAATGACATAATTACACCACGCTTGTTGGTGGAGGTCACCACTAGGCTTGACCTACTAACCACTTCCTTCACTGTTTCCTTGGCAACTGTGGCTACATTCACGCATCACTGGATATTGCACTACTGGCAATCATTTGCTATGAATTTGCATAGGAACATCCAGTTGTGAGTGATTACTATAGCACAACAACAGTACAATATCCAACCATGGGTGGATGCAGTCTGTGGTACATTGGGCCCTTCTCTGCCCCCAGGCATTCGGCACCAGTGGCATAGAAGCAGTAACACCAGTGCACAGCTATTTACTGCCCTCCACACAAAAGGCTGGAGATTAGACTTCCCAAGGATAAATGCCATCATCCTGTTCAAGAGAAAATTCTCCTGGAACAGAGGCACATGATCACTTTCATGCAATCTATCTCTTATAGAATAAGCAAGAATAAAGCTGATGCTCAAAGCACTTCCTCTGGAGCCATCCAGCTGAAATACCACATCACTCTGATCTTCTTAGCCCAACATCAAAATTGATTTTTTTTTCAGCAGCAGATATATATAAAAAAAGTTACCAAGCCATAAAGGAATATTGCACAATACACAGCTGCACAGGAAAAACACTACGACCGTAGCACAGATGAAATTTGCTATGCCAGAGACTCCATGCTGAATCCGTGCCCATAAAGTGATTACACCAATCAAATCAGTAAACATTTGTCTGTACAGAACCTTCTTCCTTTCATGCTAGGTCAATGTTGAGGACTGGTCACCTGCAGAGGCCCACAGCTGGGCACAGAGTAGGGTTGCCAGGTCTGGGTTGGAAAATACCTGGAGACTTTGGGGGTGGATCCAGGAGAGGGCGGGGTTTGGGGAGGGGAGGTGCCTCGGCATGGAACAATGCCATAGAGTCCACCCTCCAAAGCAGCCATTTTCTCCAGGGGAGCTGATCTCTGTCAGCTGGGGATCAGTTGTAAAAGCGGGAGATCTCCAGGCCCCACCTGGAGATTGGCAACCGTAGCACAGAGCCAATGCCAACACCTGGCACCCCCCACCCAAAAAGAGAGAGAGAGAGAGAGAGAGAGAGAGAGAGAGAGAGAGAGAGAGAGAGAGATATAGAGAGGCACATAGAACAAAAAACCCCCACCACCAGCCCCCCCCAAAGAAAAAGAGAGAGAGAGAGAGAGAGAGAGAGAGAGAGAGAGAGAGAGAGAGAGAGGCATATCTGGTGATGCAGAAGAAACAAAGCCAGATTCTGCTGCATCCTCCAGGTGCCCCCAACCCAGGAATGGAAAATGGCTCCAGAAGTCCCTGCATTGTTACATGGAGAGTAGCAGGAACAGTGCACAGCCCAGAATGCAATTCTTCTTGCAAATTTAACCCTGTTGGCATTAGCAGAACTAAATTAAGCATGAAACAGTTGGACTTTACTGCCACCCATGGCTCCTTCTACCAGGATGTGAAGAAATGCATTGCTTCTTTGGAGGTTTGAAATCAGCAAAAATGAGTTGGGGGGGGTTCTCTCTGGACAGAGAACAGGCAGGAAGTGGAGGAAGTCAGTTCAATGGCTTTCCAGACTTACCTCAACCCACCTTCATACAAATGGTAATTGATCTAGACAATGGGATAGTCCAGCCCCGCCCTGCCCCACTCCAAGCAGGGAAGAGAGATTTGGAGGTATTAAGGACTTGAAGGACTTCAGGAAGAAACTTCTAGAGACTTCAGGAGAAGCTTCTTTGACCCAGCCAGACCAGATCAGTGGGTGGGGAAAGAGATAGGATAAAACTCCTGGGAGCAAGGAGGAGGGCCTCTTGGGTGCTGATTCCATTGGAGCAGACAGAACTCCTGAGGTCTGGAGGACGTGGCCATTGCCATGTGCTGGCCTGACAGGCTTGGAGGTAATGGCACTCCTGTAAACATCTGGTAACTTTCTAACCTAAGGACCCTGCCTTATATTTAACAAGAGATAGGACCACCACCCACTTGGCAGCCCTAATGGAAGATAATCTTAAGCATGACTAATACAAACTTTTCAGATAGAGCAAGTAAACAGGGAGAGAGTTCTACTTCCATAATGAAATATTACAGGAACAATCCACAGGTACAGAAGATAAAACGCTGGGAATTCAAGGAGGAAAAAAAGAGGGGGGGAGGAAGAACTATTTAAGGTGGAATTGCTACAGCAGGGCAAGTGATATTATAGTGGAAATTAAGGAGATTTAATGTGATTTAAGGATATAAAATTTAAGAGAAAAGGTGACTAAATTTAAATGTTAAAAAAATTAGTGTCACAAGGTAGTTTTTATTTGTAATTTTAGAAAAGCCCAGAACCTTGTAATGTGACTAAAACAGATCTTAATAACAGTTGTACTGTTAATGATAACCAAGAAGGTTAAATTGAATTAAAACTGAAATTAAATCAAATGTCAAAGAAGCATTTGTTATAAGGCAGTTGTATGTGTTATTTTAGAAAATCTTAAAGACAAAAATTATCGCTATATGGAAATTCTTATAAGAAATGTGTATTATTTTTCTCAGGATTAAGCAATATTTAGTAAGAACTAAATTGGGACTAGGATATAGAATATTAACAAAAATGCTAGAGTCTTTAGTAAAATGTAATCTTAAAGGGATCTGAATTAGGTATGTTATTTTTAGAATGCTTTTCTTATAGAACAGCTGTTTTTGTTATAGAAGGGCTACTTACAAGCAGTAGGATGTTAAAGATCTATAACCGTGTAAGTAAAGATTAGTTTGGCAACAAATGATTCAGAGATTATAAGAGCTTTAAATGTGAGAATCTATAGTTATGAAATTAATATAATTTAAACATGATTAATTAATCGGACTGTTTTATTAAAATATATTAACAAGGCAATAAGGTAATAAAATGTTATTTAAAAAATTTAAGAAGCTATAGAATGCTATTATGATGTAAAGGCAATAATTTGGTTTTTTGCAGATAACAAGAAATGTATGGGTTTAAATGATTATGTTTAATATAAAGAATTACCCAACTGTATAAGTAGAATTATTAATGTAATTGTTATGTATTGGGACTGAAACATCCCAGGACTGTTCTACCAGAGACTGGCTGAGCTTGGAGCCCAAGAACAATAGACCACCAGGACTCTGGAAGTAACCTATCAAGAAGTAATGTTATGTAAACAGCCTATCGTTGGGAGTAGGGTGTGTTTGGGTGTAGCAATTGCATGCTATTTAAACAGGGCTGGGGTCCTGGAGTTTAGTCTTGTACTTGCCGAAATCACTAATAAAGTACAGTTGATCACTAGTAGTGGGGTCTGCTCATCCATGGAACCCACTATTTAACAGTAATGTAATAGCGTTTGTAGAAGTAATTGTAAGCACTGTTTTCTTTTTTTCACTTTGTACCCTTTTCCTATTCCCCTTTCCCTCTCCCTTTTTATTACTCAATAAAAATCTAAAAAAAATTTTTTAAAGGAGCACCAGGAGGGGAGGAGGTGTGCGCATGCTCTGAAAAACAGACGCCGTTGCTTCCCCCGCTTCGAACTGACGAAAGATTAATGACCTAGAAGAGGAGATTAATCTCACTAAACTGCCAGAGAACAGCCTCAGAGGTCTCTAAAAGAACAGTGAACAAGGAGTGCCGAAGAACTTGTGGCTGGGCAGGGTAAGAGGAAAGTTATCAACCTTTAAAGAGAGAGAAGCTGTAGGCAGCTAATTAATCAAAATGGCGACAGTGAAGTCGTTATCTGAACAGATTGCCCAATTTCAAGCCTTAATGTTAGCCTCACAGGAAAAAATATCAAAAGAAATTGGAGAAGTGAAACAGGAGCTTAAAAACATTAAAGAAGAAATCAGGGGAGTGAAAGAATTAGCCATAGAGGCAAAGGGCATGGCCAAAGATAACAAGGAGCAAATCATTCAGTTGAAAAAACAGACCGCGGAACTGTCAGATAGAAGTAGACGGGCGAACATGATAATACATGGAATTTCAGAGGACGTGGGGCAAAAGAAATTGGAGCAATGTTTGGTGGAATGGATATCAGAACAGGGGATAGAATTGAAGGAAGACCAAATAGAGAGAGCACACAGGCTGCAAACGAAAAGAAGAGGGGGGGAACCCCGCCCAGTAATTGTAAAATTTGCAGGAGAAAAAAAACAACACCAGATATATTCAACCTTAAAAAAAATTAAGGGATTAAACTACAAAGGAAAAAAAACTTACGTTCAACAAGATTTTTGCCAAGACACGCTGAACCAAAAGAGATTAATGAAACCATATGCTCAGCGACTTTATGATAATAAAATACAATTTAGCTGGGCGTACCCAGCCTCTATAATTATCTTTCAAGAAGGAAAAAGACTAAGTGCAAGGAATCCACAAGAGGCAGTAAAACTACTGGAGAAGATGGGGCTTGAAACAAGGAACCTGGAAGAGCAAATAGAGATGGAGGAAACGGCAATAACAGACGATGAGGAAGCAGGTCCTTCTACGCACCAGGAAAAGAGGCAAAGGACAAGCTCCTAGTGGCAGAAAATTAAGGGAAGTATCCATTAAACAAAAGGTCACTAGTAATGGGAAAGAAATAAGCTATCGGGGGGGGGTGCACACACCTGAAGGTGTAGAGAGAGGATGAGCTGTTCCTCCTCAAACAAGAGCTCTACACAAGGGGGAAAGTGGGAAGGGGGAGGGAAGGGAAGAAGGGTAAGCAAAGTTAACAGAACAAGAATTAACTCTCAGCGTGGGGGGGGAGGTAAACTTAGAGTAAAAGAGTATGGCTAAAAGGTTAAAAGTGCTGACACTGAACGTAAATGGTATGAGCTCTGATTTAAAGAGATACAGACTCTCCAGATTTACAAAACAACAGAACATAGACATTATGTACCTGCAGGAAACACACAAACCGAAGAGAGATAATAAACCATTGTTTAAAGACCCAGCATGGGTGGTGCTGGCTGAGGCTAGAAGTGAATTTAAGGCAAGGGGAGTGGCAATATTAGTACATAAGAAGCATGATATCAAAATAAAAGAAATAATAGCAAATGAGGAGGGAAGATATCTGTTTGTTAAATGTTTATTTGAAGGCAAATTAATAACATTCATTAATATATACGCCCCCAATAAAGGACAAAAAAGATTTTTAATAAAAATTTTCTCAAAAATACAGAAATTTGCGGAAGGCGAACTGCTGATAGCAGGAGATTGTAATTTAGATATTACTAAAAATAATGTGATATGGTGGAAAAAATGGAGTTTAATAGAAGCATATGAAGCACTGGGGTTGGCGCCAAAACCGACATTTTTTTCAAATAGACATAAAATAGCTTCACGTTTAGACTTCATAATACTTAAAGAATTTGGTAAATGGGAACCAAAAAATATAGTTACACACCCAATATGGATTTCAGATCATGCCCCCATTAGCTTAGAAATAGAGATCAACTGGGACAAAGTAAAAAAGAAAACATGGAGATATAATAACATGATAATGTCTAAAGGAAAGGATAAGCAGTATATGGAAAACCAGATAAAACTATACTTTCAGGAGAACAGAGGAACAGTAACTACAGACATGCTTTGGGATGCAGCCAAGGCTGTAATTAGGGGTCAGTGTATAATGAAAGAGAAAGAATTAAAAAAAGGATGGTACTCTGTAAGAAATGATAAGATACAAGAACTAGAGAATCTACAAAAACAGCAATTACAAAAATTTTGTCACAATAGAAACAAACTAATTACAGAATTAAAGAAACAATTAGATTCATTAGACTCAAGGGCACTATGGAAAAAACAAGTCATGGTAAGAGATGAATTCCAGAGGAATTCAATAAATTCAGTCAAAAGACTAGCAAACTATTTAAAAAGCAAAAGAGACAAGCAAAGGGTGAGAGCCATTAGGGTAAACAGGAATATAACACAGAAACCAGAAGAGATCAAGGAAACCTTTATGGATTTCTATAAGACCCTATATAAAAAAAAGAACACCGTGGACTTTGAGGAATTAATAGAAACTAAACTTACAGAAACGGAAAAGGGAGGCCTTGAAGAGGAAATAACAACGCAAGAAATAGAGCAAGCAATAAAGGGTTTAAAAATAGGTAAATCACCAGGTATGGACGGATTCACAGCGGAATTCTATAAGGAAATGAGGGAAATTTTAGCACCAGAACTATGCATAGTCTTTAACGATATACTAAAAGGAGGAAAGGCACCTAACACTTGGAGGAAAGCAGAAATAACAATATTATTAAAACCACAGAAGGACCCCAAGGAAGTGGGTTCATATAGGCCAATAAGCCTATTAAATCAGGACTATAAGATCTTTGCAAAAATAATGGCTAATAGACTTAAAAAAATTACCCCTAAAGTAATAAAAGAAGATCAGTATGGCTTTGTTAAAAATAGAAGTATAGCACACCCGATTAGAAATATATTAAATGTATTAAGTCACTGTCGATTGGGGAAAATAGGTCTGCTTAAACTAGACGTATACAAAGCATTCGATACATTATCTCATGAATTCCTGTGGAATATAATGTCGAAATATGGCATTGGCCAAGGATTTATAAAAACCATACAGGAAATATATAGAGAAAGCTCAGCAGTGGTGCGAATAAATGGGGAACATACTGCGCAATTTCCAATTACTAGGGGAGTAAGACAAGGATGCCCGCTTTCACCCTTTTTGTTCATAATGGCGATAGAACAATTAGCAGAAAGAATTAGGAACTCAGGAAGGATAGAAGGCTGTAAGATCGGCAAAGAAGAGATGAAGATTAATTTGTTTGCAGACGATATAATAATAATGATGTCAAACCCAAAAGAAGGAATTAAAGAGACAAAGGTGATACTAGAGGATTTTGAAACAATGTCAGGACTAAAAATTAACATGATGAAATCAGAAGTATTATACCATAATGTGAGTAGAAAGGAAAGGAAAGAAATTAATATACTAACTAAAATAGGATTGGGAGTCAAGAAATTTAGATATTTAGGAATAGAAATATATCAGAATATAAATAAGATTGTAGAGAAAAACTTTAAAAATGTTTGGAAAAAAATAGCAGGAGATAGGAAAAGATGGAAAAGAAAGCCCCTAAATATAACATCCAGAATCAGGAGTGTAAAAATGTTCTGGATACCTAAATTAACATATTTATTTCAAGTACTACCACTAGAGATTACCAAACAAACACTGGAGAAATGGAATGCAACAATAAGGGAATGGATATTTGGTAGTACAAAAACCAGAAGTTCAAAAAAAATAATATATAGCCATAGTTCAGAACTAGGGTGGGGTGTACCAGACATAGTAAGTTACTACGAAGCGTTTCAACTGAAAACACTTTTAGAAATAGAGGAAGATGCAAATCAGAAATGGGTCAAATTTGAAAATGAGGCAAACAAAGGAATAGGGAAATATGGGATATTTACAAATAAAGGGGAAAGAGAAGATAAATTAGAGATGGGGCCTAGAAGAAATACATTGAGAATTTGGAAGAAATGGCGACAAAAATGGTTAAAAGGCATATCTAGATGGGCACCAATAGAGACCTTAGAAAAAGATAGTACAGATCATAGATGGTGGGAACTGCTTAGAGAAAAAGGATTGAGAAGAATAAAAGATATGTGTATTGGAGGAACTGTGAAGTCACTCCAAGCATTAGAGGGAGAGATAGGAGTAAGATATTGGTTGAAAATAGCAGGTCTATACAAGAAAGTCAAGAAGCTAATCGAGGATGGGAATATAAGTACAGAAGAACCAATAGAAGAGATATACAAAAGAATGAAACAAAATAAGAGAGGATTGGTAGGGGCAATATATAGGAAAATGATTTCAGATAAGGAACAAACAATTATACAATTACAAAGAAAATGGGAGAAAGAAACACAAATAACAGAGCAAAAAGCTATAAAACTTATGAATGAAATTAAAAAGATTAAAGTATATAAGTTTAAAGAACTGGAATTAAAATTTTTTACCAAATGGTATAGAACCCCAGCAACGCTAGCAAATATGTTTCCAGGATTAAGCCCTAACTGTTGGCACTGTAAAAATGTAAAAGGGTGGTATTCACACATGTGGTGGGAGTGCCCAGAGGTTAAAACTTTTTGGAAAAATATAGTAGGGAAAATGAATAGATTATTTGCAGTAAATATAAACATAGATTTCGAATTAATGTTGATAAGTACAATAGGAGTGGAGACAATAGAGAGAAGGCACCAAGGGTTACTGAAAGCAATGGTTTTAGCAGGTAAAGCAGTTATAGCAGCAGGATGGAAAGATGCAAGCAAATGGACAGAGAGAAACTGGCTTAACTATGTGTTTGAAATTATTCAGGCAGAGATAATCTTCGAAACTAACCAAGACAAGCCGTGGGAAGAAAAAACAGCGACAATTCAAGAGAAATGGACCGTATACTGGAGATGGATGGAAGAAGAACAAAGGAACGACGTTCAGTGGAAGCTCCAAACACTATGCCCCTGGCTGAGAGAAAAGGACTAAAAACAATAGACTGGGGGAGGGGGGGAGGATGGGGAGAAAATGTTGGAAAATGATGGAATAAGAAAATGTATAATCAGAAGAAAATAATAATAACAATAAAAATATTTATACAAAAAAAAAAAAAGGAGCACCAGGAGGAAGGGCAGGGCAGTCAGTTGACAATAGCCTGCGGGGTATAAATGTGATTAATAAATAAATAAAAGGCAGTAAGCAGTCCCCGTGGTGACCAGACTCTGGAAAGTGGGAGACACTGAGGCAAGGCCTCAGAACATGGAAGGGAACCTGGGAGTCCTGACAATTCCTGCAAAGGGCAATTCCTGCAATGGTCAGGTAATGGCACTGAGGCACTGAACTGAGAGGGAGAAAGCCCCCTCCAGGTGTTGGGAAAACCCAGGACGGCAGGGTGGAACAAGGTCTGCAGGCCAGAGCAGGACTGCTCCACCACATTCAGCATCAACAAAACTAAAATAAGAATGAAACAATTGCTGCTCTATTCCCACCCATGGCTCCTCCTATCAGGAAATGGGAGATTCTAACAGAAGCTTCTGGGCAATCCCCCGTTTACTGATTAAAAGGGTGCCTGGAGGAGTCAACAGACTGCAAATTCTTGTCATTCCTTTTTGACTAGTCAATGTCGGTAGGGACCACTGCTCAGTTGTCGATGGGACTCTGGGATGGAGCTGCATTTCCTGATAGGTGGCATCAGCAGAGAAGCAATCCTTTTGTCCTGCTTTTAACCCTGAAACAGTGGCAATAGAAACAAATGTAGAAAAAGTAATGTTCCACAGCCTCTGGGTGGATTCGTAATGGTGAGCAGAGAAGTGGAAAAGAGGTGTAAGGTTACCAACCTCAAGGTGGGCCCTGTAGTTCTCCCAAATTACAACTGATTTCCAAACAACTTAAGAGGAAATGGCAGCTTTTGAGTGCAAACTCTATGGCATCACATCCTGCTAAGCTCCCTCCCATCCCCAAGTACCACCCCCAGGTGAATTTTTCTAAGTCCCTTCGTCCACTCATTTTACAGTTCTTAGCACTTCTATCAAGGTTCTTTTGCTAATGAATGGCATTTTATTCTTTTCTGAAGCTCATCAGAAAGCAGTAAGTTTTAGATGTTTATAGCGCAATTCTATGAGGATTTACTCCAGTCTAAGCTCACTGAAGTCACCCTGCACAGAACTGTACTGTGTCACGATAGCATACCAAAACTATCCTTGCCAAATGGTGTTATTTTAGCTCATCCTTTTCCACCTCCAAAACCTCATTCATATCGTTCACTGCCTCGCACCATGTCATCATGCACTGCAACAAGTTTTTAAATGAGAAACAAAGTACCCCTCAAAATTTGCAGTACTATACCTCAGGCCCTGTGATATGCAAGAGGCCAGAAACGGCAGCTGCAACAGAGTCATAGCCTGCCCGTTGAAACTTTGGACCAGATTGACCATACCCTAAAACAAAGAAAGGACACTATTAAAGCAGAATATATAGAACAGTGATAACCAGTCTTTTTGGTAAGTGTGCCTCAAGTCAGCTAGGTTGGATGGATTTAAATTACCTCAGGGGAAAATAGAGATCTGAGTAGTTTCCTACAGTGAAATTCATTTATTTCCTGAACATGCATATGAATTGGTTGCTGCAACAATTAAAACATAGGTACTCAGAGAGGAGACATATTTTGCTTGGACCCACTCTGTACACATCCAAAGATACTGAGCAAAGCCACTGATACTGAGCAAAGACTCCAGTCCAATGCACACTTATTTGAAATTAAATCCAAGTCAGTGAGGAAAAGAGAGATTTACTTCTATCTAAGCATGACTATAAGATGTTCCAGAACTTTCCAGAAGCAAGAACAAGGTCATTACTGACCAAAGCAGCATTTCAGATGGGAAGTGTTCATGCTGCGTGCTTGGCAGGGTCATCAATATTCATAATTTGAAGTCCAGTGCTACTCTAGCTACTATACACTTGCAACCCCAACATGTTGGAATGCTTTTGCCTCTAGCTCTCTGAACAAAATGGAGAAAGGAAGTAAATGCTGGGAGATTTTAAGGGCAGTGTCTGGGAAGCGTGGAGCCTGCGGAGGATGTCACTTCACTTCTATATGATGTTCCAGCAATTTCCCAAATTATCTGGGGCAGTGTTCCCTCTAAGCTGAGTTAGTGTGAGCTAGTTCAGATTTTTTTAGCCTCTGGCTCACACATTTTTGTCTTAGCTCAGGAAGGATGGCTCCAGAGCAAACTAATTTATGCAGTAGACAAATTGCTTGCTCACAACTTTAATGCCAGTAGCTCACAAAATAGAATTTTTGCTCACAAGACTCCACAGCTTAGAGGGAGCATTGATCTGGGATACATAACATAGAAATTCTTAGAGTGTCACTATGGGTGTCATCATCCATTTTTTCTCTCTCACTCCTCAATTTCCCAAGGGCAGAGGATTGGGGCCAAAGGTTGGGGTTTGCCCACCATAGGCAAGCAAATACCCAGCCTAGGCAAACAGGAATGTAGGTCTAATTCTGTAGCCAACCTCTCTTCCTCCTGGCTAGAATAACCCAACATTTATACCACTTGTGGCACTCCTGTCAAAAACATGGAATAATATATATAATAATCCAACAGAAAGTCATTCTGTGCAAACCCCATAAAAATGAGCACTGCTCTCAGTGCTATGGGACCAAATTGTTTTCTGAGCACATTTAGCCCACTTAGCTAGAGACAATCAAATTAAAAGACAAATGTGCAGATTGACTGTGAAAAGGCAAACACATGCATTATTTGCTTGTTGAAACAAAATGGAGACGTAGTTCCTTTTCAGTTGAAGCCCCCATGTATTTTAAGATGGTGATCTGAGAATAGTAAATATATGCTCCCTCTACAGTTCATGCAACACAAATCTATTTTACATTCTAGTACTGTTACACAAGTAGATGCTGCTGCACAAGAAAATATGGACATATATGGGTTATTTTTCGGGGGGGGGGGGATCTGGTGCAGATATTTCTGAAAACAGGTATGTGTATATCATCCAGATTCAATCCAGAAAGCTACATAATCCTTCCAAATTAATACAAAACACCTTTAAAACCTGTTGTTCTGCCAAATATCATCCTTATCCATTATGAACAGACTACATCTTTCTTTAATAAAGATTAATAAAATAAGGAAAAACACAAGCAATGGGTCCATAATGAGAAAAACCAAACTCTAAGCAAATGCATCCTTATAATTACAGAGCTGCCAAATACGTTCAAATGAAAAACTGCTTTTAAAAAATGTTGGTCACATCTTGATCTCTACAAAGAATGAGTAGAATGTTCTAGAAAGGCAGGCCTAAATACCACAGAACAGACACAAGCATGATGATCTAAACTACAGAGATGAACTAATGAATAAAGTGTGTGAGTGACTTGTGGAAAAATTAATCTGGGTTTAATTTGAACCAGGGGGAAATCATGGATACGCTTTGAAAGCCAGGCCTCAGCCTTGTGATACCAGAGCTGGTGCAGTGCTTGAATAAACACATGAGGTTGGTAGATGGTCACTCATAAGGACTGCTTAGACTCCAAGCAATTAAAAGGTGCTCTCCTTTCTTATCCTTCTCTTTAAAGCTACTGAAGTAGCTTCTCTCCTCTTTTTCTTTCTTGAAAACCAGGCACATGCACAAACCCTTGTTATGAATAATAAAACTATGGCACCTCTCCTCCTTTACCTCCTTTATATGTGCACATATACTCACTTGCTCTGGAATGGAACTGAACACACTATTTACTCTCTCCCCCAAATCAAAGCTGCTATATGCCTCCTCCAGGGAAAATAAGAGCCCTGTTCATAACAATGAATATGCATACAATCCATGCACAGTACAATATGTGTACACCGTACACTTAATTGTTCTTTATACACGCATTGAGTAATTCTCATATTACTCGATTCTCAATGCATGTACAACTGAACAAAACCCACATTTATCCAGGTACTGGGCCCCGGTTTCATTTGGAAAGTGGTTGTGCTTTGCCTCTTTCTTCCAAATACATTTTGTAAAATAAGTAAAATAAATGTACACATGTACAGGCAGGATGTATGTGCATTCACTGTGTAACATGTGAACAGGGCTACAGAGGCAGGTTACAATGTGCAGGTTACAATGTGGGGTACAGGCAGTTTGCTTTGGGGAAACAGCAAACCAAAGTTTTCCTTACCTAAGCAGTATAGACCTGCTCTGAAATGCTGTAATTTTTGTACAAACCACCATTTTAGACAGACTCCACTCACTAAGCCCCCATTTTGTGACTGGTAGTTTCCAGGACAATAAAATCTTCCCTTCCCTGAGATATGAGAAGGAAGCAGCCAATTCAAGCCTCTGCTCAGCTACAACCTTACTGCTTAGATTTAGGCCTGGCCTACAGACACAGCAGATTGAGGAGATGGGATTCTGAGGTAGCAGAATGCCATAAACCACTTCAGGTAGTGGCGGGGAAGTCACATTCCAATCCTCCCAGTCCCCCATATAATAACACCCTACTAAATAAAAGGAGGAGCCACATAAGATGTTTGCAGCCTAGCTCTTTACAGTGCTTTACTAGCCTTTCTCTTACAGAGAATTACTAAAGGCGCGGGGGAGGGGGGGATGTAATCCCACCCCTGCAGTCTAAAGTGGTAGTGTCCATTCTCTCACCTCAGTACTCCCTGGGCCAGGCCTGAGGAAAAGTACTGTCTGTGATTTGGCTCTCAATCTGTGAAAAAAGATAATATGGACTAGCTGGGCCCTATTGATTTTTAAATTATATACCCTCACACATACACACAATAACATAAACAAAGATACCCCCCCCCCAAAAAAAAAAAACCTTGGAATCTACTTGTAGACATTGATATAGAAAAGGGCCACAAGGCAGGGGTGGCCAAAATGAAATAAAAATAATATAAATCAAGTTTCCCATTTTGAAATTCATATATTTCTTGAATAAGAATGTTTGACTGTTGTGCAAAACAAAACATACTGCTTTTCAGCCTTTAAGCAGAATCCAAAACCTCTGGCCACAAAGATCACATGTAATACAGAATTATATCTGAGATAAAAAAGACAGATTTCTCTTTGGCTCTCCTGTTGAAATGTAAGGTTATTAGGTAAGATGACTTACTTGAAGAATACAGCTACAATTCTATGCATGAGCATTTGAACATATGTTCTACTGAGCAAACTTAAATGAAATTTCCTGTTCAGAAACTCATATATTGCGTGAGCAAACATACATACTGTTTGGTTGGTATGACAAACAAAACACAATGGTCTTGTGAGTTTTATTACCATACTATTCTTTATTATTTAAACTGTTTCTCATTCAACTAACTGTATACATACGTGTTTGAGCTTCATGTTATCTGTTTTTATATTATTTTTAACTGGAACCTATTTCACCTACAGGTCTACAAGCAGCTCTGGTGTCTTTTTTAACGGAAAAAGTAAGGTTGAAAAGTTCCTTACCAACCTTCCCCCCCACCTTGAAAAAAACCAGCCCCAGGAGCGGCATTTGAAAAATATTTTTTAAAAAAAGAACAAAACATGCTTTAAAATTATCATGGAATAAAACATAATATGTAGTTTGAGTCTCAATCCACCCCTCTCTCCATAGGAAAATACAGAGGCGTTTCCCACTCCGTTCTATCAGCAACTCTGGGCTGCTTTCCATACAGAGGCAATTCTCAGTGTAAGAACATAAGAACATAAGAGACGCCAATGTTGGATCAGGCCAAAGGCCCATCCAGTCCAATGCTCTGTATCACACAGTGGCCAGAAATACCAAGTGCCATCAGGAGGTCCACCAGTGGGGCCAGGACATTAGAAGCCCTCCTACTGTTGACCCCATCCCCAAGCACCAAGAAGACAGAGCATCACTTGTCCCAGAGCCCCTATCTATACCTTGTGGCTAATAGCCACTGATGGACCTCTGCTCCATATGCTTATCTAATTCCCTTTTGAAGCTGTCCATGCTTGTAGCCGCCACCACTTCCTGTGGCAGTGAATTCCATGTGTTAATCACTCTTTGGGTGAAGAAGTACTTCCTTTTATCCGTTGCTCTCGTTGTTGGAAATGCAAAGGCATATGCAGTGGCTATGGAGAAAACAGCAGCTTTGCCCTCCTCAGCCTCTCCCACCCCGCCACCCTTTCCTACCACTCAGGGCCTTTTGTAAAAATTGGGAATTGCAAGACTGCTATACCATTATAACTTGTAGATTGTGATAACAGATCATTATAATAGTGCTATAGTGATTTAGCAATTCCCCCCCTCAAAAAATCAAAGTCCTCTGGTGGCAGGGGGAAATGGGGGACTGGAGGGAAAATAGTACTCATGTGGGACCGGCTTGCAAAAATGTGCACCTTCCTGACAACAGAGCATCAGAAGACACTCTGACTGCAATCTTTCCAAAAACACTGTGCCAGATCA